TATTTGATCATTTCTTCACAATTTTCAAATTCTCTGAATGTAAATTAATCAGTTTTGCAGCTCAGGATAAAATAATGAAGCCAGACGTGTACAGTATAATTTTGTTGGTGCCACCTCTTCTCGTTACTTACATTCCCATCCTCGTCTTTCCGGTGATGAAGGTGTTTTACAGAAGAAGATTTGATCAAATCAGTCGCTGGGTTGCCACAAATGCATTTTCCAATATATTAAAGGAGAAGAAGAAGAAGACTTGTTGTCCTCGAGAAGCGAGGTGGCTGTTTAAAGACATTGATCTAACAGCAGAGGAGGAATTATTATCCATGGTCCTAACCAGATTTTTGATGCTGTTTTCTTTTATGTTTGGCGCTGTGCTGACAGTTTTTTGGCAGCTCCTTGTGCTGGATGTAAGTAACGACTGCGATGAAGATGACCTCTCGAAAGACTGCTTCGCAAACAAATGGACTTCGGAGCCGCAAGACCCCCTAAACTGTAGCAGTGCTGCCGTTCAAACCTTGATTCAAAATGGAACCATACAGGTCGCCTGCTACAAAATCGTCTTCAATTTTGGATTGGCCAGTGGTGCAAGTTACGGCTCATTCAAGCTCTCTATGTTCGCCATTAAGGTTAGTGCAGGTGCAATCTTGAGGATTAAGACAACAAAGATGCTACGACTGGTGCAAATGTTTGGTGCATTACTGGTTCCCGGTGTTGTCATATCGCTCACATTTGTTGACGTAGTCATTCCTTCGGTAGACATCTTTTTGAGAGATCAACAAGTTGCTTTCCTTCAGATAACAACAACAACACTCACTGCTTTTTACTTCCTATTCTTTATTCCCTGGCGTTGGCTCATTGACTTGAAAACCCAGAGAGAGAACCCGTTAGAAACTGTCATAGGAAACTGTGCTTAGACATCTGTATAGACACCTCTTAAGTAGAGACTGGAAATTCTAGAAAAGTTTCGAGTAATTACCTGAACCAATTGATGAAACAATGCTTTAGAGACTGACAGCAAATAGCCTTGTGAAGACTGTTCTAGCGGTAGGTTTTTGTGGTGAGAGTATTACCCTTGCCAGACAGCTAGTGTTACACGAGAACGGCAAAATTAAACTCATATCTATTTACCATTCATGAATCAACCACAATGGCAGTCTAACTAGGGAATAGTTGATAAACTATTCAAGGAAGTTATACAGAGCGAACAGAACAAGCTCCATGACCTTTCTTCTGCTCGTAACACATGTATCTTGATCCTAAGAAACATATGGAAGTTTAGGCTCGTCTTCAAAAGCAGTCTAAATAGGGATTAGCTGATAAACTATTTAAGAAAGTTATACAGCGCGAACAGAACAAGCTCCATGACCTTGTTTCTGCTCGTTACACGTGTACCTTGATCCTAAGAAACATGTGGAAGTTTAGGTTCGTCTTCAAGACGAACAGATTTCGTAACAGTCTTATTACTTTTAATGCCATTAAGGCCTTATCGATTTATTAGACTTTTATATTTCTTCGACATATTTCATTTACTAGCATAACATATTTTACATATATATGTTTATACAAACTTGTTTTAAACTACTGGTAGTCCTTTTAAGTATCTTTTTGTAATAATCGTATAACTCAACTTTTGGTAGCAAAGCGGCTATCAATAAACTATCTATCTATCTCTCTATCAAGTCATTGCATCATAATTCCTATGCGTTATTCCTTGGAAAAACCTCATGGCGATGAACTCGGCGAGGGAACATCTAAATATTATGCCAGTAAATTACTCGCTGTGAAAATCTGCTTCAAAATCTGCAGACGCTTATCTGATGTCACGCATTTATTTATCACAGTTTAGTATTAGAGAATGAGGCCATGAGGTTTCTTGTTTTCCCACTCTAAGAACCATTTTTGTCTCACAGCTAGAAATAGTGCTGCGAGAAAATTAAACGTTTAGGAAATTAAGAAGACAATTTTCCCGAAATTGTTTATCTCCTTGTAAGAAAGCTTATTGAAGCACGTAATGCAGATTATTTTGACCTTTGTTTTCCGAGTTACCCAGGTATGCATGAAATTAGAACAGTGATGAAAATTGTCAACTTGTGCCCTTGAATGTCAAAAATTATAATAGTTGCGTCAACACCATGCCCATCGATGCAAAGTCTTGCTTTGCAGTAAGGACGTGTCATTTTAAGGGTATAATTAGCGTCGAGGCCATAACTTGATATTCAGATCTAAAGCGATCACTTTCTGCGGAATGTACACTGCAAACGAAGTTGCATTGTGCTTGGTGATGATAGTGCTTTGGGTCATCCAGCACAAACCCCATTGAAAATCCCTTGTTGTTGGAATTCCCTTGTAAAGACTTAGAGTGCAAAAGTCCCAACAATCTTATCATACTCATCAATATTCTCACAATAGAGTACTAAAGTCGTGACGTCACGTTTCCATGACACCGAAATTCTCAGTTCTAAACAAACAGCACATTCCAGAGAAAATGGCGTCGCTGTCGATCGCTTCACTGATTTCTTTCTTCTCGGAAGAAAAGAAGTCTATCAGAAAAGGAGAAAACCACTACAAATCGGATCATGTGGAGTCACTTTCGTATCAACAAGGTGTTTTACGCGGGGAAGTGCATGCAAGCATGAAAAAGAAGTTCTATAAAGTCACGGTGAGTGAACTCAAGCTAAGCTAACATCTTCTATTAAAAGCACTCAACAGAGCTCAAGATTTAGTCTGATTTGCAGTTCTGTTTTAGGTAGATTTGTTTGGTTCTTTCACTTCTTTGAACGATTAGAGATGGTAAAGGCGATCTTAGCCGCCGAATTCCAACTTACCATATTTTCAAACGTAACGGCTACAGAACAAAAATTTTTGTAGTGATTTGTTTACTTCATAGCGTGGTTTTAACGTAGCACATTGTTGTTATCATTTGGGATCACCTGAATCCAATTCGTTGGTGTGATGTTCTTTCGTTGTTTTCTTTTCCTAGATTTACTTGGATGAGCAACACGAAATTAAGTCGACTGAGTGTGAATGCCCAAGAGGAGCATTTAAGTGTAGCCATGCAGCTGCACTCTTTATACACGGCATCCATAATCTAAGCAGAACTGACGTTGAGTGTCAGTGGAGGAAAAGGAAGTCGAACACATCGCTCTCAGCTCAAGCTGTGGCAGAAATGTTCCCTCCACCTAAGAAGTACACTGCCTTGGGAAGAAAGCCAGTACAGGTTGACAGAGCACAGCTGTATAAAGACCTTAAACAATATCGACGGTTTACAGGCTTTTCGGGCTGCTCAGTCCAAAGCCACCTGCTTTTAACGAACTACCAATTCCAACAATAGAGGATATAATACTTTCAGAAGAGTTTCTCCAAACCAGAGAGCTTCAACAACAACTGGACTATTTAGTTCGACGATCCAGAATACTTGAAGAAGATATATTGAAAATCAGTAGGATCACTGATGGCCAGCGTGACAATCCTGCCTGGCATTTGGCAAGGAGGGGCCGTCTTACTGCCAGCAACTTTGGTAGTGTTATGAAAGCCAAACGAGTTACTCCCTCACTTCTGAAACGCCTTCTTGGAGAATACGACCTCTCAAGAGTGAAAGCAGTACAATGGGGAGTTAACAATGAAGAGGAAGCTATCAAGGCCTTCACCTTGAAGACAGGGAAAACAGTTAAAGAAACTGGAATCTGGTTTCATTCCTCTGGTATTCTTGGTGCTTCCCCTGATGGGATTGTTGACCATGAAACTGCTCTTGAGGCCAAGTGCCCATACACTGAAAGAAACCTAATCATAGATGAGGCTGTACAATCTTCAGCAACATTTTGCCTCGATAAATCTGACAGTGGAGAGTATGTATTGAAGAAGGAGCATGTTTACTGGCACCAGGTCCAGGGAGAAATGTATTTTTTCTCAGCGAAAATTTTTTTATTTTGTTGTGTGGACCACAAAGGATGTAGCTGTTTTAAAAATAGAAAGGGATGAATCTTGGGCAGCAAACATCCCACTTTTAACACAATTTTATTTTAATTATATTTTCCCCAAAATAGTTGCAGGAGAATTGTAGAGTAATATTAATAATTGATTTTAATTAAATTGTTAAGGCTGGGACATATTTCAATGATGAATTGTCTGGTGTAGAAGGCTTTTCATGCCACTGGGGGTTTCATTAACATTTTCAACAGGAGGGCAACTGGTTTTCACAGGACTACAAAGCTTTTTGACCTGAACTTCTTTATAAGATAAACTTTGCTCAAGATTGTCAAACCAGGCCGTCAAATTCTCTTCACAGCTGGTCAATTTGCCTTGCTCTTGACCCCCTATGAAACCCCTGCCTGGCCTGCTCCTTCCCTTAATTTTTTCTCAAGAACTTTCTTTGGGTTTGGCTGTGATTCCCCAATAATATATAATATATTATTTTTTATAAATTGTTGATTCCATGAAATAGTATAATTTTTGATCATTGGATGAAAGGGAATGACTAAATTATTAAATGCCAAATGAATACCATCAAATTGTTTTTGTTTTGGGCAGACTCCAGTATTATTTTAAGTGGAGGTCAGTTTGCCCTGTAAATTTGACAAAAATTCAACTTTAATGTAAAGATTGTGAAAAGTGCAGGACTGTAGGCTAAAGTTTTTCTTTTGTCACATAATTTACTACTAAAAGTAATCCTGTGTGGATATACTTGCTGAAGATATATATATATATTTATTAGATGTATATTTATATATATAGAATAAATATATATTATATATTTATATATTTATATTCATAACAGTTTTATTATCCAAAAATAGGCTATCACAATCCTAATTTATCCAAGAAAATGTTGAGTAATTACAAAACAGGTTTAAATAGACTGTTATATTTCTATTTTTTGAGGTGGATTCCATTCCATTGCGAAATATGTATTAAATAGTCCATTTTAATTCTATTTTCTCCAAAGTATTCCAGACCCACAATATTTAACACAGCAACTAGACGTGTGGTGTAATAACCGGTCACATTTTATTCCTATTTTATTCGTGAATTCAAGCTTAACTAACAATGGATTGTTGCTCTATATTACAAAATATAATTTTAAGGCAGCTGTTTGGTACTTGCGCCAATCATATCTTCACTGCATAAAATGGAATTAATAAGTCATAGTTTCTGTGTTAACGAGATAAAGACGGGTTAAAAATTGAAAACGTCAAGCCAACGTTTTTCATCTGCGTTGTTGTAGCTTTCAAGTTTCCGCGAACGCTTTCCTTTAGCATCGAATCTCCACTTTTTATTGCCCGGATCGTCGCTAGGGTCATGTTTAACTGAAACTGATCAACAAATCGATCAGCACAGCAACCAAGCTTGGTCAGAGTGGGTTTTGAGTCTTTGTTTCCTCGACAACTTCCGACCACAAATCGTGCATTTGTTATACGATCGGTTCTTGTCGATTATTTCTGCATAGAGTGAGCCCACATCCTTATATATATCATCGTCAAAATATGGATCCAAGGTACCCATAGTCCAAAAGCAGACGAGCGGTCAGAGAAGTCTGTATGAACTTGTACGCTTCTCTTGAAACTGCAATCGGGCAAGCCAGTGGATTCTCTTTGCTAGCCAATAACAATTCCCAAATAATCCACGTGATCATGTCCGTAATCGGAAACAAAGTAGACTCCATTTCGCGCTCATCTTTGAATGTACTTTTCAACGGTTGATCGCTTGCATGTCATGTTATTTCTTTTCTTAACTGTTTTGCTCAATACAACATTTCTACAACAATGTTCAATACAACATTGGGAAAACGAGAACAGTGTGAGTGTTGTAAGTGAAAAGAAAGTCGTTGGCGCCGTGGAGTTAAAGGGACAACAGTTGACATATCGACTGGTACGAACAAGGGTCGAGTGGCCATTTATAAAGCTACGATTTTGAAAGTTTGTGGTGAGTAAAAATTGCGATATTCGTTACGTGATCAAAAACGTTACCAAAGACAGGATATAACGGCTTGAATTAAGCTTACATAACGCTCGGCGCAACTGAAACTCGAATAATTCTGAGAATCGAAACGGTTACTTGCATGCCGTTTCTTAAGTTTACACTTTGCAAAGTTTCCGCACAGCCCCATACTTCATTATGCATACAGTCCTTTGTTAGAAGAAAACAATAGCGCAAACAATGTCTTTCGAACATCATATACTTCGGCGATATGCTCGATTATATTTCCAAGAGGATCTTCTCCATATTGTTTACGCCACAACCACTCCTGTAGGTAGCTACCGAAGAGATCTTTGGATATTCCTGTACGAGGTATACTTCGTTTGATTCCCCATCGTGTATTTTCAATGCGCTGAGTATGAGCGCCTGTGTCTGGGTCTACGAAGTTTAGGCTGTGGTTCACTGTGAGATGATTGTAGCCCTCGTCCTGTAGGCAATCATAAGCTTAACACATGTCGCTCATCACGCATGTTCCCGGCAATATTTGAGCGCGTATAACGGGTATGAGCGTATCTTTATCCCTGCGCTCTACCGGTACAAGGATGCAGGCCTTGGTTTCACGGCAAATGCCATCAAAGACCCACTTTCCTTCGACGTAGCGACCGCGGTGACACGTCTCATTTCTTCGTGCAAAATCCAACATGTTTTAAAGGTGAGGAAAATGATTTCAGTGTTAATTTTTGGAATTTGAATAAGGTATTAGAAATATAATTTTGAAAGTTACCCTTTATCGGCAAGAAGCAGATGTAGAACAATGGTATAGAGGGTAGACTGCTAGTTTGACGAAGACGATAGAGAATTGAGAGTCCGAACCCCGCAGGTAACGTAAAAAAAAAAGAAACAATAGACTGAGAGGGGCCTTGAAGGAAGGATGCCTGCCAGAGAAATGGGAAAGAGAAAGAGGTGAAAATGGAGAGAGAGAGAGAGAGAGAGGGAAAAACAGCGCGGAAAGAAACGCTGTGAAAAAAATCCACTTTTATTAGTGCGGTAAGTAATAATTAGGGATGTATATATTCAATTACCAAGGGAATTGTCTATTGTATTCAAAGACAAAGGGTAGAATGCATAATTAATAAGATGTGCATGCATAATGAAGTATGGGGCTGTGCGGAAATTTTTCCAATCTCTCAGTAAGGTTTCAAGATTACTTTTAATTGGGCACGTTTTGGAACATTCTAGGGTAAAATTTCCGCACAGCCCCATACTACATTATGCATTCAGTTCTTGGATAGAGAAAACAATGACAAAAACAATAGATTGCCATTGGGAAAACAGATTTGTTTTACAATAGTATGGGGCTGTGTGGAAATTTTACCCATTCTAGATTCATAATAAAAGCTGTGATTAACCAAACCTGATTACATAGAGAAGCTCTTCTTGATAAAAACAAAATAATGTATTCAGCCCTTTTTTAGTAAAATCTACGGAAGAGATTTGCTAACTCTAATATAAAAGTCATTCAATATAACAGAGATTTTCAATCTCAGTACACTTTGTTAAATTAGGATTCCAATGAATGCCCTTTTCCTTATAGCTATCTAAGGCCTTGTCTGAGCTCATTTATTTTTTTATGCCATGGAATATAGATACAAAATGGAAAGGCTTCTTGTAGACAACCTCATTCGAGGCCAACAGTCTGCAGTTGAGGATAATTTCATTCTAATTTTTGTTACAGTTACAGTAAGATTTTAATTAAAAAGATAACTTGTATTTAACTGTAATTAACCCCTTCACTCCCAAGAGTGCTAAGTCAAAGTTGAGAAGAAATCTTTGAATTTCAATGTGTAGAATGAATAAAAAAAACAATAAAAGATGAAAGTGCTGCTTCACAGCTTACATTTGAGTGTTCACAAGAGCTTTTTCCAAAGAAGTTACAACCACATAAAATCAAGTCAGTGCTTGACTCTGGGAGCAAAAGGGTTAAATACCATTTGTATCATCATCCAAAATTAAATGATTCATTTACAGACTATTTTTTGACTGATAGTATTTATTGCAGTTAATATAATTTACATTATTGTATTTTATGGAAAAGAATCAACAGATTTTATCCACAATTTGTGTCAAACCAAATTAAATGATTGATTAGGAATATTTTTTATGAATAGCTGTAATTGAGGATAATTCTTATGACGTTTACAAGAAAAGAAAAAGAAATGAAACTCCATCCTAATATTACTACTTGCTGATGTTAATATACAACAAAAATATTTTACACATAAACCTTAGGGTTAAGCAGGTAAATAAATTTCATTGAATACTTGCATTTTTAGTTGGGAGTTTTAAATTTTCAAAATTTATTTCATGTTGGTTGCCTCAATTTTTGCTTTAAATTCCCAGTAATTCTTAAATATTCCTAGAAATTCCTGAAAAAAGGAATTTTTGGCAAGTTCTTAGATTTACAGCCTTTTAGGGAAATTCATTGGTGCTCTGGTTGGAATTCCTTGGAATTCCTAGGAATTCAAAGTCCCGTTGGCTATTATCTTGGAATTTCTGGGAATTTCTAGGTTTTTAGAACCAGTGTTATTACAGTTGGGAATTTCCATTTCAAATTTACCATGAAAATTTACACCTCTTATTCCTAAGAATTACATTTTTTCCTAGGAACTGTATCTACATGAGGCTCTATTTTAAACCTATTTTAAGTGTATTTATATCCTATTTTTTCAAGTTTTTTTTCCTATTTTATCCTTTTTTTCTATTATGTCTATTTTATGTCTCTTAGACCTATTTTATAGGTATTTAATTCCTATTTTTTCAACTTTTTTCTTCCTTTATTCCTATTTTATGTTTATTTTAAACCTATTTTAAATGTATTTATATCCTATTTTTTTCTCTACTGTTTCCTTGTTTTAATCCTATTTTATCATCAAATTGCAAACACATTTCCTCTATTTTAAAGCTACTTTAAAGCTATCTATACAGTAGTTATGACTTGCCAACCAGATTATTTTTTTACTAATTTTTGTTTCAAAATAATAGGTTTAAAATAGTTAAAAAATAAAAATAGAGAAAAAATACACAAAAAGTGGGGAAAAAATAGTTTTAAAAATAGATATAAATAGGTATAAAATAGGCACTATTTTTTGTAAGGGAGCTAGCTGATGGGAATAAAGGAAATGGTGACCAACAAAAGAAGCTTTTGATCAGTAAGCAAATTCTCCTTGTCAGCACCATAGGAGATGTATAAAGAACAGTATGGAAAATATGCATACTGATGTTAGGGTGTAAAGGTTTACTACTGAACAGACACACTGCAGCAAAGAATCTCTTTTAAATACAAACTGACATCTTCTCTGAAAATATATTTCAGTTCACAGCTCAAGTGAGGATGAAAATTATGTAAACAAGAATGTGCACTGCATATTTCTTACCTATTCTTGATAAAGGAAGCTTGTGATTCTTTCCTCCAGTGCCCTTCTCTAGCTACCCAGGCACTGTGGCAAGGGACTGACTAAAAGACATTGGTAACCTGGCAGTTGCTGCTTTTAATTGCTTTGGAAAAATCAATCAGGATTTTCTTCAAAATTCCCCAGTAACTGCACTGAAACCAAAGAGAAAAAGTGTCTATGATTTATGCACTGACAAAGCTTAGCAGTGACAGATTAACTTCTATTTTGACCAGTGAGAGAGAAATGAAATGGTTTGATAAAAATGATTTTTTTTCCCCAATGCATTGTAATCCCTGCATGTAACCCATACAGAAATTAGAGTACAGCTTTTCAAGAAGCATAATTTGGAGCAATTTTCTTTTTTCTGAGAGAGACTAACTAAATGATAATTCACTAACACTATAGACTATAGTGTGCAGTGAAGGGTATAAACAATTAACTGAACAGACTGCCACAAGAGGTCTCATCATAAAAATTGCAATTTCCTCCATTGTGATTGGCCTAAAGACTCCTATTTTTCTACTAATTCATTGGCCAAGTTGTTATTGGACAGTTTGTTATCGAACAGTTCAATAAGCCAATCACATTCAAAGTTTTAGTTTAAATCAAACAATTCCAACCTTGGTTTCAACCACCATAGAATTTTAATGCAAATGTGCCCTTTCTTTCATAACTTGGCTTGGAAATTGTAATTTTTATGATTATATGGTGACAAGATTTTGTGTCATCCAATTTGGTCTGTAATAAGACTCCACTAAGTCCTAAAACCTCTCTTATTATACATTAGACATATTATGAAAAATCTAATTGCTCAAGAGCACTCAATCAATATACAATGGTATGTGAAGTTGACATGATAACCCAATATCTGCAATGGATATCCCAGTTATCATGTCAAGTTCAAATTCTGACTAGTTTCCAAGCCCCTTGTACATGAAGTATTTGAAACCTTTTGGGAGGATCTTCTTTTGCATGTTGTTTGAGAAAATATATTATATATATATTATTGGATCTGGTTTTTGCATCACATTGTGAGTTACCAAACCTCATGTGTGTATCTGCCTCAGCCTTCAGGTATGGCAAATCATGGCTCAGACCCTAGTTTTGATATCTCTAGTCAAACCTTTTAATCTGAACATTTATTTTTGTGAAAAGTGTCAAAAGGCTCAAAAGCTTTTAGTAGAAAGACAATTCTTTACACAAATCAACCCTCTTTAAGAGAATCCCTGAGGCCCACTACTCGCGTAAAACCAAAGTTTGGGTTAGACCTCGTATTAATAACTGTCTCACAACGTTTTCTCCACCATGAAAAAGTATAAACAAAATTGTCACTGACTGCCTTTTAACTCTTTAACTCCTACATCAAGTTTGTACTTCTCCTCATTGTCAACCATACAATTCTTATGTCAGTTCAGAGAATTTAATGTTGGATCAACTTATTACTCCTGAATTGATATTTTTCTTTATTCTCATCACTTATCTGGTTGACATTGTATTGATATTGTAAGGAGAAATTCTGTCTTCATCACTCATGCAAATTAAAGGGTGAACCCTTTACACCCAAACATCAGTATTCATATTCTCTATACTGTTTTCAGTACATTTACCAAGGTGTTGACAAGGAGAATTTGTCTAACAGTCAAGAGTTTCTTTAGTTGCTGATCATTTCCTTTTTTCTCATGACATGTGTGATTCAGTGGTGATATTGTAGGGAGAAATTAGATGCTAGTCAGTCTTAGGGGTTAAAGGGCTAAAACTACAACGAGTACTATATAACCTAACCTCCGAAAATTGTCTTCAGATGCCATGCACTGAAAACTAAGCTACGGGGACCACACTTTGAAACTTGCTTATCAACCCAGGTTGGGTTGTTCAAAGCTGGGTTAAGATAACCCAGAGTAAGTGTGAAATCTAATTTAAGATCTGAAAGATTTAAACGAAAATTCAGCATAATAGTTTTTGTCTACAAATTGATGATTCAATGCTCTGAAAAGAATAGGGAAAATTATTCCAAAAAGGCTCTTTGAACATAGGAATAAAGAATCCCGGATTAAAATTTAACTCTGGGTCAGCGCCACTCAGCCTCCGAACAACTGGGACCAGGCTCCTAGCGCACAATTTACCTTTTAGCAAATAGTCTGAACATTTTACGAGCTAAAACAGTAGCTACTCTTGACTCGAAAAATTATTTTTTATGCAACAACCAGATAAGCAGATATTGGTAAAACTCGTAGCGTGAGTTTGCGTTAAT